GAAGAGAGCGTTCAAGGGTGAGTGCGATGTGAAGCAAAATTCACAAAGATGTCGACGGAGGGAGTGAGCCAATTATATACACGAAAGCAGGGGAAAACGACGCCTTTGCCGAAGGATTGAAAACACAGAACTCGAGATAAAGCGGAGATAAGATTTTGTTTAGAGAACTCAGGCGTACATTAGCGCGTCTTCTGTTATCTATCCCTTACATCAGAAGAGGTTCCGCCTGACTCGAAAGAGAGGAATGTGAGACATTATGTGGGAGCCGCGTTGCGGCCAACAACAAAACAAGGAAGCTTTGAAACAAAAAGAATGGAAAAATTCGCACAGTCACAGTATACCAAACAAAAAACACGAAATGAACCTAACAGTACGATTCGGGGCAAAGCGGAGCAAAACGGGAAATGAAGCAGCCCCTCTACTAGGCTAAAAAACGACGAATACCGAAAAATACCACTCTGAGGATCCTCTGAACAACGAACCACGGCGCCTTTCCTCAACGCTTCGCCATAAGACTTAATGACCGTATTCTCAAAACTCATCCGCGGGAACTCTACCGTACTGCTTTAATCTTGGGAGGAAACTATGTTACGTAGTTAGATCACCTCCTTACCGCAGGCCTATACGTACGCTTATATTTTAACCTGCACAGGAACACAGGAGAGAGAAAGAAAAAGGAAAAACAAAGAGGAAAAAAAAAAGACTCACCCTAATCGTCAGCAGACACGTTGAGCGATGTCGACCTTAGAACCGCAAAGATCAACGAAGAATGAAGGCACTCTGTCTGCAAAAAGCAATCAGCCGATCAGCTCGTTCGCCAGAAAAGGTCGAGAAAACAAGAAGAAGCGCGCGGGGGACACACAGAAAGGGCGCTGGTGTACCAAATCGCATTGATCGGGGGGGAAAACCGTTCGCTTAGGAGCGGCCCTCATGGTCCCGAAATTTGAATGTCGCGCACGTGAGCTCCATGCGAAAACAAAAGCAAAAATCCAAGCGCGCTCCGAAGCCGAAAGTTCATCCCACTCAAGTACTTTAACGAGGTCTCACGAAGCACAGAGGAACGGTTGGCCATTCCGTCCGCCGTGTACGCAAAACCGAATATGAAACAGTGGTATCCGCCCAGGTAGGGCCGCTAGGGATGTCTCAAGCTAAACAGCGAAAAAAAAGAATAGCGATTAGTATATGAAGAAAAAAAATAAGTCCGACGAAAGAAGGGACTCGCACTCGCTGCTACCAGTAAGTGCTGAGCCCGTGTAGGGGTCACGAATAATTAGATTTATTATACAAGTAGCAAGTGAATTAGAAGCACTAGGTCGACTGCACGGTTGATCCAACAAAGGTATCGCATATCTGGCATACAGACAATAAACTGACGACACAGTGTAGGCAAAAACGGCTACGGTACTAACGGCTCTATCACAAGCGGATAACACGGCCTCGCGGTTCTTCCGCTGGTATCTCGACTGCCCTCCTGTCGTCGTTCCCTCGGGTGGCACCGTTATCTCCGTCGCCCATCTCCAGCCGCCGAGCCTAGAAAGCGTCACATATTAATTCTAACTACCGCACCCTTTACACTTCTTACCATTTATGCAAACCATTACAGGCTCAGCAAGTGAACCCTTTGCTTCAACCATTACTTTTCTACCTGTAAGCAACAGAAGATGAACTCATCCTATTACCCTATCTACTTTATAGAACTTGCTACGTCTGTCTGTCCGGAAATCGACACCACTATCGTCCTGATCGATAATGCGATGCAATTCATTCGCAAGGATCGTCCCCAATGTACAGCTGGATCCTCGAGACAAAAATAGAAATGAGATGATTTGCCCTCTACATACCATGCTTCTTTTGGTAGTTTTTCTCTCGGAATTTTTCCAGGGACGATATTCAATACCATTAGTATAATTTGCTCCAGTGATGGTCACCATACCTTATAAGCAGGTAATAATATTCTTTGTTGTTGTGTGCCTTCTTTCGTACGATGAGTACTCAACTAATATCCGGCTTACTCTCATCTGTGCGCTCAACGCTGCTTTCCACCATTTCTAGACGGTAATAGTATTGGAAGCAGCAAGTGTGATGCTATTGCTTAAAGGCTGAGCTCACGTTTGTGACGTTCGAAAGAATTTTTCCCGGTTGTTGACTTTTCGCGGTTGTTCCCATTTTACATGTGCTATACGGACAGCTCAGAGCCAAGCCCCGTGACATGGAAGGAGGCGAGGTGACCCGACTGGTTTTAAAAATAACGGATTTACGAAAGTGCTACGGTTTTCGGTAAAAGAGTTCAGGGGAATTCCGTTCTCTTCTATAGAGAATCTTCAATTCCGTTATATCTACAACCTTGGTTATGGTTGAGTGAAGATGTGTATGCTTAAAGGTCAAAAAACCCGCATGCGCCATTTCCACAGATGAGTTTTCCCAATAGTAGACTTCCAGCAAAAAAGTTGCGGTTCTTGAATTAACACATTGAACGCCGCGGCGTTTTTGCGGCGACTCCCGTTTTGACTTCCTGCGTCTCCGCGCGCGTGTATTGAATGCAATACACGAACGCGCGAAACGGGAGTCTTTGTGCCGCATACCCCACATCTCCTATCGGCTCATTCTGGGTCAACTTTTGCGCTCATTTGTACATTGTTCAGTATGAATAATGACTTCTTTTTGCTGCATAGATGGATCTGGACAACGTAGAAGATTTAAACGTCAGTTTTTACGACATAAGTATTGGGTTGGCCCACAAGTAATTGAGTTTTTTTTGGTGGTCCAACCGACATATTTTTTATATTGAAATCTACAATTGTTCCCGATATGTTCGTCAATGTTTGATAGATAATTTTCTGCTCTATATGATAGTGTGGTTGCTCCCTACTATTTCATGGTTTCCGTTCGATTTGTATTTCATTAAATGGAAAATTCGGGTCGCGTGGGGGGGGCATCTTGCTTGCGGAACCCATCCACTAGGTCTTGAACTTCTTCACTCGAACGGAGGTAATGCTTGATAATGACAAGGAAGTATTCTAAGACCTTTAACGATTCCTCTACCCTTGGCATGATTCTCAGTTAACAAGGTGATTCCGTAAGCTTTCAGTCTGACAGAATAGGGCATTAGGTTCGATGCTTGTCTGTGGGGTCGAAACTGAAATCTTCGAATCACTTGAAGTTTTACTAATATTCCTACGAGACGTAGCCTTTTAGCCATATACTTACCAGCTGGACCCATGCGGTTTTAGCTTTTTAATTAGGGGCATAAATGAGAGGCTGTCGAAAATGCTCAATTTCGTTAACCTGGCACCATTTTTATCACTGAAATACTAATGGAAAAAGAAACTTGAAGCAAACTAGGAATACTATTCTGTAGGGCAAGGAGGCAGTTTCTCCTGCCAAGGTGGTATAAAACCCAGTGGAGAAACTCTTCTTCTTCAGCGCGATATTTTGAGTGAGAAAAAACGCCATTACTTATGGGGCGACCCAGTATTATTATCATAACGACTTAAACACTATCAAATGTATTGTAAATTAACATTTGTAATTATCACTAGAAGTCTTACTACCATTGCAGTGATGCGGAGCAATCATAAGAAGTGCAATTACTTAATGTTATTTTGTAATGTTAATGAATTACCCCAATGAGCAGCTTATTTCACGCCATCAAGAACTAAGCATGAGTAAAGCTCACTGAACATATACTCGGTGAGAATGGTTCAATTCGCACTATTATCCACGAAAAAACCGACCAACAAAACGTGAATTGTGGGCAATACACAAACGCGAGAAACGGGAGTATGCGCGTGTATTGATATCAATTCACGCGGCGTCGTTCAATAGTAGACTTCCAGCAAAAAAGTTGCGGTTCTTGAATTAAAAAAGTGCGGTAGTCAAATATGGTAGCACGTCTGCCCCTGGTTATGCTTGATGAAGTTATGTACATAAAACAGCAAAACCCGTAAGGTTTCCCGTTTCCTTTTGGGGAAGCCGCGATACTTTATACGCGACTGCTTTGGCAAACAGGGGGTCCAAAAAAACGTTTTCTTCCTCGACTTTCAAGGCGATATAAGTTACACTTTATTAAATTCTGATTGGACATTTCCACCATCATATTCAACAACACATTGTACACTATCACGATACTCCGCCACAGCCTTTCTAGACGAACGCCATCGGCCCGGATAATCGAGGAGGTTTGGTCAGGTGACACACTTGGATATTCCGTCTTCTTCAGGTACTCAACGCCCTTCGATTCCAGGATCCTGTAGCAGTACGAAGTTTCCAAGATGGTACAGGCGACGACATGAAGGCAGGATATTCTCCTCGAGCTGTTCGATGTAACCGTCAGCGTTCACCTTCAGTCCGGGGTCCACGAAGAAAATATCGGTCTTCCCATTCCAGGAACTTCCGGTCCATACCATCAACCCGCGCCTTGGCGACTGCGGTGAAGATGATATCCTGGACCGTAGCGACGTTGTCGGAGCTGCTCGATGTTGGAGGTCTTCCAGATCAAGAGCGCCGGTCTCCAGGTAGCCTATGTCCACTCCATACAAGAAGTTTCGCAGCTGTTTGAAGGTGACTTGAATTTCATAGGCCTTCTATAATCAGTGACAACATAAAAAAATAGCACTTGTCTTCACAAAGTAGTGATTATTCAGAGCAATATGACAGTAACTTCAATACAAAAATACCGGTTATGAAATTAACCCATAAGTGAAGAACCTGTATGACATGATATGCTTTGACGAAAGCTATGTGATCAACTAAATCGCATGAGCGAGGTAGAGACTGTATAAAAGTGAACAACTGTTAATGTCGTAAGACTACAAAATATGAAGATGGCTATCAATGAAGCGTACGACCAATAGAATCAATAAGATCCAGGGGGCCGAAGCCGGAAGGGAAGTGGGAGGAGAGCGGTGGGGGTGCAGGAGCAGTTATGGCTGTCGGTCCGGCGGTCCTTATACAGTGGTGTTTCCCCGCGATCGTATTGATGTGCGTTTTGAACTTCATCTTCATACTTCATACTCGGTGGCGGCAGTGCGATTTAGCACACTGACCCAGAGAAGAGTGGTGTGTAGAGCTTTCGCAGTAAGTGCAGCGAGTTTCAACTTGCAGTGGCTCTGGGCACAGTCTGAGGCATGCTGTGCGGCATCTGCGATGCTTTTTTCTGCGACTGTGCGGTATCTGTAGCAGTGGTCGCTGTCGTGTTCGCCGGTGGCGGAGCAAAGGCAGCATCTGAGGGTTGGGTCCCAAACGAGTAGCGTGCGCGTTCTTCCGAAGGATCTATCTTTGACGTCTTTCAGTTCTTGCAGGCGTTTTCGAGCCCGCTTAACCTCTTCCGGTTCTTCTTCGGTTTAGAGATGTCTTCTTTTTGCTCCCCTGTATTGCCTTTTTTTAAGCTGGACATCAAAGTTTATCTGAGCGTCTAAAAGGAGTTCTGCGTCCATATTCTGTGCGATATATTTCTGACAGCTTTTGATCGATTGACTTCATAAATTGCTCGATCGTCTTCATCGTGCTTTTCATTTCTGGAGTCAACGGAGTTGAGCGTGCCGCGGGGAGATTCCAACAACTGTCGTATGTGAATCAACTCGTCAAGAACGACGTTCTCCTTGGGAAAGTCGACGTAATAGTTGATTCTGATGCTCGAGATCTGCTTGGAAGGTCATCGACGTGTTGGATTTCTTTCTGCAGAATGTCGTTGTTGACTGTAAGCGAGTTTTCTCGCTCTTCCTTGCGTGGTTTTGTTTCGTACTTGTGTTTGCTAGACTTCTTGGCGCCGCCAGCCTCAACGAGTAAGCGGTAGATCTCCCAGAGGATGTTACCCATCTGGTAATCGGCGATCATCTTTTGTTTGGATGTTGCGAGCTGGTATGTGAGGTCGGTGATAGTCTGATGAACGGATGCGTCTGGGTCTTTGAGGTGTTTAGGGGTAAAGGTGTTTCTGAATGTGGTCAAGTGTGAGCTGGTTAGAACGAACGACAGAGATGTTAAGAGTGATATCATCATAGATCACGTCAAGACGTCGTTGAAGTTCTTTCCCGTCTAGAAGCGAACATATGTCGTTAAGCGATTGCATGAGCTTTACTGCGGCTGCTGTAGCGTCCATACTGTAACGAAACTTTATTAATGAAGTGAGCGTTAAAAATGACGTTGAATTACGACAACATCAAAAAGATAACAATTTGTCTTCACAAAATAGTGATTATTCAGAGCAATATGACAGTAACTTCAATACAAAAATACCGGTTATGAAATTAACCCATAAGTGAAGAACCTGTATGACATGATATGCTTTGACGAAAGCTATGTGATCAATAAATCGCATGAGCGAGGATAGAGACTGTATAAAAGTGAACAACTGATATACTAATGTCGTAAGACTACAAAATATGAAGATGGCGATCAATGAAGCACACGACCAATAGAATCAATAAGATCCAGGGAGGCCGAAGCCGGAAGGGAAGTGGGAGGAGAGCGGTGGGGGTGCAGGAGCAGTTATGGCTGTCCGTCAGGCAGTCCTTATATAGTAGCGTTTCCCGCGCGATCGTATTGATGTG